TTGCTCTGTCGGCCATTGCCACTGTTTGAGCGCCGCGAGCAAAATGACACAATGATTCCTTTCACGGGGGATGAAATGGCGAGTAAATTTTGTCTAAAAACTAAGGAATTGTGTTTTCCCTAAACTGGGTCAGTTAGTTGTTGTTTTTTTCTAGCCCTTTATAGAGAGAAGTATTGAGGACTGTTAAATAAAAGGTTAATGACATTTCTATCTCTCTCCTTCCTTCGCAGCTTCCTTTCAGCAAATCTATGCAGAACCTCTGGAGTATGATGCATTTACTTATAAGCCATAATACGAATTTTCTTCGAGTTCTGAGACTGATGATGGTGTTACTACCTTTGCTATAATCCTAACGAACATTTTCTCTCAGAAGCTATAAGCAGGATTTACTACAATGCCATTTAGAACCCAAATATTAAAAAACCTTTTTTCTTAAAAAAGAAAAAATTACAGAGGCATTTTCAAAGGAAACCTATTTTGAAACGACTCACGTCGAGCACGACAAATGTCACTGAAAGTGGCTTAACGCCGAAACCGGCTTGTCTTCAAAACCTTGCCTTGGATAGCCTTGGGAATAACTAGCCTTAACTTTTGAAGCGTAAAGTATGGTTGAAACAATTAGCCAGCACAGACAGTGTTTCCTACAGCCAGAACTTAGCGATTTTTATGCCAGCGCCAAAGCAGTCAGCTGGGTTGGATAGAGTTTTCTGTGTCGGAAGAGATAGTCCTACCTTGGTGCTTTCAAGAATACTTTTTCAGCATTGGCCGATACTCAAAGTTATTTCAGTGAAGGTTTTTCCTATAAAGGCTGGATCATTCACACAGTAAAGAAGCGTTCTAGTGCAAATTTATCCAGTAGTTTTAGAAACACTTCACGCGACCTACATCTTTACGTTAAAATCAATTCAAACTCTATTCAGGGAGACCTGATAATTTGTTCAACGCCGATTAGTATTACTTTCAAAGAATTTTATTAATCAGTGGTTATCTTGCTGCTATTCATGTGGGTCCTAGCACGGTATGACGACCGAACACCGATACAAGTCCTTCAGTATAGGCAACCCTACTGACCGAACTTAACGAACGCACTGCCTAAATATGGCCGACCCAACTGCCGCTTTCGAATAGAGCACAGTTCATTGTCCACCGTCGTCGCGAGTACTTGCCTATTACCGTCATCAAATCTATATTTTGGCAAAACGAAAATTATTATGTATTAAGTAAACTCAATAAAAAATAAATTTTATAGAGAACACTTTAAGAAGACTCGATATCCTATATTCAATAAATGTCATGAAGAGGCAGGAAGTCAAGTTTTAGGATGTTGAGATCAATCGACCCAGTAAATTTGGAAGGGTCTGTTCGCTGTTGGACAGTGTTACCAGTATAGAAATCTGCGACTCTACCTGCGTCGTCAGTGTCGCCAGTGAAACCAGTGTCGCAAATTTCGGGTAGCTTCGACTCTACTAATATATGAATTTAAGTACAATTTAATTCCAGACATTTCATCACATTTTTTTGCGATCCAAAGGTTATCACGCTTACGCTTACAAATTCGTCAATTTAATGCAAATCCATTTGATAATCCGCAGATTGTTCGATTTGCTAAAAAAAAAATCATCTCCAATGTTATGCAAACTCCGTGAGACGTCAATCAATAATATTCTTGAATGTCTATCGACCATTTAAGCAGAAAATTCATTTAAAAACAACAAACAGCTGTGTGAATAAAAACCGAATGATTAGCCAGCCAGACTGACATCCAACAAGTCGACAGGCAGCCAGCCAGCTAGCCAACTGAATTCAACTGAACTAAAATCATTTCAAATTTATACATATTTATTTATTTATTGCATGAGCTGTACTTTGTACCAGCACAATACACACAAAAATATCTCACAGTGTACAGTTGCCACAAAAACACACAATAATTAGCGAAAAACAAAACATGAAAAAAGGAGAGAAAAACAAAAATGGGCGGCGCACAAGTAAACCAGCTGCCAGCGCGGCGAAATAGTTGCTATGGACCTAGAAGAGAGCGTCAATGGAAGGCAGAGAGCGCGCAGACACAAAAAAAAAATACCAGCACAAAACTGTTGCAGTGTTGCCTGCAAGTTGGTAGGCGTTTTGGCACCAAATTCGCGCCGTTTGGGTTTTTATTTTATTTGTTGCTTAGTGCAAAGAGCAAACAGAGCGCTAAGTGCTGGGTGCTGACGTTTGAGGAAGCAGACAGAAAAGAAGAAGTATCGCTGCAGACTGACACAAGCGCTATTAAAATGAGCTCACCTGACTAGCGTTGGTTATTAGGAATGTATATGCTAGAGAGATTTTTACTACGCTAGTTGGCAATTGTAGGATGAGTAAGCGAAAGGACAACTGATGCATAGGGATGAGTAAGCGTGGTTGCGCCGTGTAAGAAAAATAATAAATATTATCAAAAGGGTTTCAATTTGCAAAGCAAATACAAACGGAAAGNCAATTCTTCAATGGGAAAGGAAGGATAGCTGATGTTGTAGCATGAGTAAGCGAAAGGACAACTGATGCATAGGGATGAGTAAGCGTGGTTGCGCCGTGTAAGAAAAATAGTAAATATTATCAAAAGGGTTTCAATTTGCAAAGCAAATACAAACGGAAAGAGGTTTATATTTTTAATTTTCGGTGACTATTTCACTCGTGAAATATTTTTAAACTCAAAACAAGAAAAAATCGGTCAACTAAAAAAAAAACTATGTATGTATATCAAATTAGGAGACATAAATAAAAAAAAATAAAAATTAAATTATAATTAATATTATATATATAGAAATTTTTTCCGAACTAGTTAAAAAATTTATTTTTTTTACGTGAATAAATAAAATGAAAAAAATTTTACGTTTTATAAAACAATTNGAAATATGTATATATATCAAATTAGAAGACATAAATAAAAAAATAAAAAATTAAATTATAACCAATTAAAAAAGATATAAAAAAATGTATTGAAGAGACATTTTTTCCGAACTAGCTAAAAAATTTTAATTTTTTTTTAATAAAATAATTAAAATGAAAAAAATTTTACGTTTTATAAAACAATTACGAATTTTAAAAATAAATACANAAATAAAAATTAAATTATAATTAATATTATATATATAGAAATTTTTTCCGAACTAGTTAAAAAATTTATTTTTTTTACGTGAATAAATAAAATGAAAAAAATTTTACGTTTTATAAAACAATTACGAATTTTAAAAATAAATACAAAATTTTATTGAAAAATTACCACGCTTTATGAAAAATCTTAGAAATTTTTTAAAAAACTATCAAATTTTATAAAAAAAAAATATGAAATATTAAAAAAATTTATAAAAATTGTCAAACTAAGTTTTATTGAAAAAAAACATGAAATAAGTTTTATAACAAATTTTATTAAATGAATTATTAAATTTGATGAATTAAATACTCTAAAAAATTTATAAAATAAATTTTGTATAAACTTCTATAAACCAAATTAACAAAAAAAAATTAGTGAACATTAAAGAACTTTATTTATCAAATAAAGTTTAANCATGAAATAAGTTTTATAACAAATTTTATTAAATGAATTATTAAATTTTATGAATTAAATACTCTAAAAAATTTATAAAATAAATTTTGTATAAACTTCTATAAACCAAATTAACAAAAAAAATTAGTGAACATTAAAGAACTTTATTTATCAAATAAAGTTTAATAAGAAAACAATTAACAAAAAACTTAATCAAGCTAGGAAAATT